TCCAGCAATTGATCAGTTCCTGAGTTCACTGGTTCAACGGTTAAATGTCTATGAGGAAACCTGTTCACTTTTCGGGTTCTTGTCTAAACTGGAGTCAATGAATTGTGACGAAATTGAAGCAGCTGCAGCAAAATTGGTTGCTGAGTAAAAAAATGATTTGGATCAAACACTTGGAGTTGAACTTGTGCAGTTTACAGCATTCTTCACTCAATTTCTTGAAGACGAAGATGATGAGAAAGGGAGGGCACATTACCTTTACAAGCTGTTGATAGACAAGAAAGTTGTAGATACATTTCCAAATGTTGAAATAATACTACTGATGTACTTGGTGCTCGTGGTCACAAATTGTTCTGGAGAACGTTCTTTCAGTAAAATGAAGTTTATTAAAAACAGACTTCGTACTACAATGTGTCATGATAGGCTCAGCCACCTGGCTTTGATGAGTATCGAATATGACATCCTCAGAGAGATTGACTTTGAAAAGTTGATCAAAACCGTTGCAGCGGCCAGGTCACGTAAAGTGCCTGGTCTGTAAATAGAGGTAATGATTATTTTCTATTTTGCAATTGATCAATGTTTGTGTTCAATATATCCATTATCCATGGTAGATGGCAGTTATTTTTATTAAAATTCTTGTTTTTTCCAACATGTTCATACTTTTGTTATAATTTTATCAAATTCATTAAATTGTTTATTTGTTTTACTATTGGATGCAAAACTTCAATTTTATTTATAGTCGAGTTAATACTTATTGTGAATCTATCTGACCTTGGACTTAAAGAAGCCTATACATGCATTCTTGGACATAACCATTATTTGAGTAGAGGTTTGTCTGATTAATAATGCAAAGAATCATCTCTCTGTAATAACTAATAATATATTCTTTTCTGTGAAGTCTCTTGAAAATTTTTGACATGTACGGTAGTAGCTATATCATGGCTGGTCGACTTGAAACCACATGAATGACTCCAGTCATGTCTCACTTTTGTGTGTGTGTGTTGGGAATTTGTACACTATCAATAAATATACAGTTAATTAAAAATTTCTCAATGTTCTAATTTCCTCAATATACAGTTGTACCCCGCTTAACGCGGTTTCACTTAACGCGATTTCTCATATACGCGGTGCCTCGCCAGAACCGAAGTTTCACTTAACGAGGTTCATCTACTCATATACGCGGTGAAGTATAATATATATTTTTTTTATTTAGCTCATAAAATTCATACAAATTATCCGGCCAGAATATAATTTACATTGCTGGAATTCTTACAATTTGATGATCATTTTGAATATAAACATCATAGATTTTGCATTAGACATACAAATTTTAGATATAATGTTTACTCTGAGTAAATATGTTATCTTTTGTGCAAAATATATGACATTTATATTCAAAATATTCCTGGTCTTACAAGGAATCCAGCAATGTCAATTATATTATCCTAACTTTAGTTTGAGGTATTATTTATTAAAATCTAGTGGTTTTCCCCCAAAAATTTCTCAGAGAGGGAAGAGCCAGCAGTGTAGTGTGAGAAGAGGGGGAGGGAGTCGAGTCCATTATTTGAATGGACATTAACTTGGCGACTGTATTTCTCTATTTCTCTTAAGTATTAATTGTGTGCATGTACCATCATAAAATTAAGATGTTATTTTTACTAGAACATAGTTGTGTGTCGTCAAAAAGTGGAGTTTGGGGGTCGGGCCAGTCTCTATTGGAATTAATCCCATATGTTCTGTTGTTCACTTTACGCGGTTTTCACTTAACGCGGTAACCTCTGGGTTCAATTGACCGCGTTAAGCGGGGTACAACTGTAACTGCATATGGCTTCAAAATTCTCCAAAGAAGTGTTCAAATTTCAAAATTTTCCCAGATGTTTAGGCTCGCTTCACTCACCACCCCACCCTCTTGGGTAGTTATAATGAGGGGGGCCTCCACAAAGAGGCTGCCCATGGGCCTCCACAGGTCTAAATCCGGCAGTGATAATAACTATCCTATATTTCCCCTCTGTGAAGTATTGATATCTTAGTCCCTCTAACCAGCTCCCGGCTGAGTCTCCCCATGGTGTAGGCCTTTCTAGCCTAACCACAAGCCGTTAGACCTGTACTCCCCCTCCCCAAACGTAAACAATTAACTCCCTCACCCTCTCCACCTCTCACGAGTATAAAGAGAAAGAAGAATAAGTACAGTATATAAATAAATATAAGGAATTAAAAAGACAATAAAAGATTAATTTGTTCCATAAAATATGTCATATTAAATATTAGGGACACATAATATTTGTTACAACATAATACTGTAGTAAGTCTCACATAGTAGTGTAGTGGCTCTCACATAATAATGTAGTGGCTCTCACATAATATTGTAGTGACTCTCACATAATACTGTAGTGGCTCTCACATAATAATGTAGTGGCTCTCACATAATATTGTAGTGACTCTCACATAATACTGTAGTGAGTCTCACATAATACTGTAGTGGCTCTCACATAATACTGTAGTGACTCTCACATAATATTGTAGTGACTCTCACATAATACTGTAGTGGCTCTCACATAATAATGTAGTGGCTCTCACATAATATTGTAGTGACTCTCACATAATACTGTAGTGAGTCTCACATAATACTGTAGTGGCTCTCACATAATACTGTAGTGACTCTCACATAATATTGTAGTGACTCTCACATAATACTGTAGTGGCTCTCACATAATAATGTAGTGGCTCTCACATAATATTGTAGTGACTCTCACATAATACTGTAGTGAGTCTCACATAATACTGTAGTGGCTCTCACATAATACTGTAGTGCTCTCACATAATATTATAGTGGCTCACATATACTGTAGTGGCTCTCACATAATACTGTAGTGGCTCTCACATAATACTGTAGTGGCTCTCACATAATATTGTAGTGGCTCTCACATAATACTGTAGTGGCTCTCACATAATACTGTAGTGGCTCTCACATAATATTGTAGTGGCTCTCACATAATACTGTAGTGGCTCTCACTGTACTGCACACATCATTGTCATCCCTAAAATCTCTTTAAGTCATACTACGCTACATAACATTCAAAGCCACCGCGCTTGTAGAGTCTCAGAAAACGGGAAACGTTGGTAAAGGATAACTCATCTAATGTATGTTTATAACTCATCTAATGTATGTTTATAACTCATCTAATGCATGTTTATAACTCATCTAATGCATGTTTATAACTCATCTAATGCATGTTTATACTCATCTAATGCATGTTTATAACTCATCTAATGCATGTTTATAACTCATCTAATGCATGTTTATAACTCATCTAATGCATGTTTATAACTCATCTAATGCATGTTTATAACTCATCTAATGCATGTTTATAACTCATCTAATGCATGTTTATAACTCATCTAATGCATGTTTATAACTCATCTAATGCATGTTTATAACTCATCTAATGCATGTTTATAACTCATCTAATGCATGTTAATAACTCATCTAATGCATGTTAATAACTCATCTAATGCATGTTTATAACTCATCTAATGCATGTTTATAACTCATCTAATGTATGTTTATAACTCATCTAATGTATGTTTATAACTCATCTAATGTATGTTTATAACTCATCTAATGTATGTTTATAACTCATCTAATGTATGTTTATAACTCATCTAATGTATGTTTATAACTCATCTAATGTATGTTTATAACTCATCTAATGTATGTTTATAACTCATCTAATGTATGTTTATAACTCATCTAATGTATGTTTATAACTCATCTAATGTATGTTTATAACTCATCTAATGCATGTTTATAACTCATCTAAATGTTTATAACTCATCTAATGTATGTTTATAACTCATCTAATGTATGTTTATAACTCATCTAATGTATGTTTATAACTCATCTAATGTATGTTTATAACTCATCTAATGTATGTTTATAACTCATCTAATGTATGTTTATAACTCATCTAATGTATGTTTATAACTCATCTAATGTATGTTTATAACTCATCTAATGTATGTTTATAACTCATCTAATGTATGTTTATAACTCATCTAATGTATGTTTATAACTCATCTAATGTATGTTTATAACTCATCTAATGTATGTAATGTTTATAACTCATCTAATGTATGTTTATAACTCATCTAATGTATGTTTATAACTCATCTAATGTATGTTTATAACTCATCTAATGTATGTTTATAACTCATCTAATGTATGTTTATAACTCATCTAATGTATGTTTATAACTCATCTAATGTATGTTTATAACTCATCTAATGTATGTTTATAACTCATCTAATGTATGTTTATAACTCATCTAATGTATGTTTTATACAAATAGTACCCAGGTATGGCCATATAAGTGTATGTACTCATAGCATTAAGGAGAACTCAAGGTATCTATAGGATGATTGGGAAGGTCCAATTGATATGGACTAGTGTACTATAAGGGATAAGAGTAGATCATGTTTGAAGGTCCTTCTATTTATGTCTGTGAACAATTAGTGAACATAGCTACCGCAGGTATCAGATGAAAATATAAAAGAACATTGATTTGGAAAAAGGATAAGTGTATCAGACCTAAGTGAAGTGTTGGAAGTGATCCACAAACTATACTTCAAAGAAAATATCTTGCATGCCTCGGCATGAGCTTAATACACCTCATTATCTCATGTGACATATAACCACAGACCATACAATTATCAGAGCATCTTATGAATGTGTTCAACGATTGCAACGTGCGAGAGGAGGATCCCTAAATACAGATTGAAGTGAAGTGGATATACCCACGCCATGAAAATACGACGCTCGGCTTTTGTTCAATGTTAGCGTCTTTTCTGCCCCACGAACTGTCAAACCAGATCCTTACTTTAGTATGTAATTTAGGATTAAAATATGTAATTATAAGGCATAAGGTCACAATAAATAGGAAAGTGGAGATGTGAGAACCAGAAGAAATCAAAGTGTAAATTTAAGTTTGAAACTGTAGGCCTACTTCAGTGCGAGACGCGAGCCGTTCGTCCTTAGACGTGCCTCGCTCTTCCACCCAAACAGGTCAGTGAATCCCTTTGTGCTCCATTCAGCCCTGAAAAGACGTATTTATCAGTATTTTACATCTTAAAACCTTGCTTGATGTTATAAAGTGAAGTAATAGTTGTACTAGTGTGGTGATAAAAGCCCAACAGGCATTATACTTAGACGTGCCTCGCTCTTCCACCCAAACAGGTACCACGCGTTCTGAGCGTCGGCTATTACCGCACTGTGAAGGACGCACCATGTGTGGTGTGACTGTTTACAGCCATTATGGCCCTTCACTGTGAACCTGTGGATACCCTGCATATCACCACCCAGGATAGTAGAAAATAATTGTATGTTTGAGAAGATTCGTGGTCGCTACGTGGAGCAACCTAAGAATACCAGCCGTGGAAACAGCACCTGTACTGTACTGGTATGGTTACTCGGGAAGTAACCCCTCTACTCATCAAGAGTAGTGTGTGGATGAGGTACCTGGTATGTGTACCTAAGAATACCGAGGAGTTTCATACTTGTAGGTGTGGAGTGTACCCGGGATGTGGTGCTATGATATGACATCTGGTGCTGTAATGTAACTTGTGATGCTATACTCTAACAGGTGGTGCAGTCTGATATGTTGGGTGTTTGGTAAGAAGGAATGACCGAGGTAAGGAGGTCATAGGTTGTTGTTAAGAATGAAGAGGATAAAAGTAATTATTTGATGTAAGACGTGTATTGATGTGAAGGGTAATGAACATAATAGTTGTTCTTCTGAAGAAGGCCAATTCTTTTTGTATTATGACGGGATGCAATATGTTTTGTAAGGAATAAATTAGTTAAGTCATGTTTGATGTTTCACTCTTCTTCCCACTCTCGATTTGGTCAATGAAAAACCCAACCCAATGCCTAGCTCACTCTGCCCGCTACCTAACGAGCTACATACTGTCCAGGGGGGGTCTGGTGGCAGCAACCTTAAAATTAAGGATAGAGTTAAGTTATCCCCTTAGAATTAGTGACCCCAGAATCTGGCAGTATATCACATAATAATGTAAGGACTCTCACATAGTGCTGTAGTGGCTCTCACATAATACTGTAGTACAGG